TTATTTAATTGTCATATCGTTTTAAACTACTTTTGGACAGCACTGCTTGGATCACGTGATATACTACCGAACCTATTGGTACGGAATATTCTTTGCACTGCAAATACTTACTCTGGCATTTCTGGTAAGACAATTATGCTTATTTTTCACAATTATCCACGCTTGCTCACACACACACGCACGCGCGCGTGCGCACACACACACACACACACACATATATATATATATATTATATACACACACATATATATATATATATATATATATATATATATATATTATATACACACACACACATATATATATATATATATATATATATATATATATATATATATATATATATTCTTTCATTACTGTGTTTTTTGTGTAATATGTGTGTAGTAATCTATAACTTACAAATATTTTCAGGATAAAGCCTTTAGGCAGCAGTGCTTTTTATTGTTACATTTCTTTTTATAATTGATTTATCTCGTGTTTAACAGTGCCAAATTTCGTCACTTTTTTCAGATTTGTTCTCGCAAATATTCGGTCATAGGTTTTTTATTACTCATTTCTTTTCATCCATTGTTTTTCTGGTCTTTCGACTTGCAATCCGCATGTGATTAAATCATAAGGTTGCAATCCGCATGTGATTAAATCATAAGGTTGGATATATTTAATGTAGACCAATTTGAATAATCCTTACATATTCGACAATATTTATATTCTTAATTATTTTTTCATTTACACACTCTTTCATTTTTCTAGTTGCATGTGAATTTTTTTTGCTTATTTTATTATCGAAATTTACTGGAGTTTAGAGATTTAGAAAAGTTAGGAGTTTAGAAAATCATCATGATATGGCGGATCCAAAAATTTTAGTTGGGGTCTTTTGAATGGTCGAGTGGAGGCTATTTATTTTTGAGCTAATAATAAAAATAATAACAATAATAATATAAATAATGATAATAATAATGCCATTTATAAAGTGTCATTGCAGGTGACTGAAGCGCAGTATTAGCAATAAACAAACACATTGTATGTGTCTTGTCTTGAACAATCCTCGATCCGAAAGTAGGCTGCATCATGAACATGTTTTCTCCAGTTAACTCTGTCCCGCGGGTTTCTCAGCAACTTTTCCATGTTAAAATCCGTACGATCCTTTACATCATCGATTCATCTTCCTTTTGCCTTCCTCTTCGCTTTGATATAGACAACGTTCATCACGCCGCCCAAGTTTTATTTCTTGTCTTTAAGTAATTATTTAGCCATTGTACAAAACTTGATGTGAAAAGAATATACGGTCAGCCGTCCTAATTTGTATTCAATTGGTAAATATTGTGTTGTTTTTAACTATTTGGGAGAATACATTCTGGTATTCCTTCTTTGCAACTACTATTGTTGATCAAAAAGAATGTGTCTATCTACATCACCAGGTGTTTTAATACACAAATTTTCCTTTGCAGATAATGATGACAGTCTCTATATTGATAACCTTATAAGAAGTCGAATACAAACAAATGAAACCAGAATACAAACAAATGAAACCAATCAAACGAGGCACTACCATTGGGAACATCAAATCTTCATTTTTTTTCATGTTAAAATTTTTTGTTTAAGATATTTAAAGTTCATCATTTAGTTAAAAAAAATCAACGGTCTGCGTTCAATATTTTCTAAATCCGTTTAGTTTTAAATCTGTTTAAAATTGACTTAATTGTTTCATAACTATTATACAGAAAAAACGTTTAATTCATTCGAACAAATAAGGCTCGTGCCTTGTTTGAGATTATATTATCGTCGAAATTGACTTTTGATAGTTTATTTTTAAATTTGCATATGCTTTAGTCCTTAGAATATTTGCCCCAGTATTTAAGAGTTAATAAAAATTTTCAAGGTAGTTTAATACCTGATCAGCATCCACCTTAGAACTAATTCTCCCATGATACACAACAGATTTTTCGATCAGACTAGCTTTCCGCTTTTAATTCACCTTTATTCTGTCTATTAAGTACTTTAACATAACTCCGAACAATACTTGAACATACTTGAATTTGTATTATGGTGTAAAGTAAAATCTTTATAACTACGGCTTATTTTGCATAGCTTACTCGGTATCTGGTGTTACGACCGGGCGATGTTGGTGCACGACGTAAACGCGGATATCATTGCAACTATATATTTATTTCCATTGTTATCCTTATTGAGTTTCACGTACTTGTGACCATTCAATAGATGATCTATTAAAAAACAATTTCACGACTATTTAAAACAAAATACAATAAAACACAATTTTTTTTAAATATTTTTTTATTCAATCTTGCAACTTTTAGTAAACATTTAATCACACTTTTCAGTCAGTCTTCCATAAATTGTTTATTCTTGTGGAACCAATTTCATGAAGCCGAGTTTACTCACGTAATTATAAAATCTATTTCTCTGGTATGGCCGACGTGGTTGCGTGTAAAAAAGTGAGTTGGTTTGGTTAAATTTAGTTAGATTTAGCTGATTAGGTTGACCATTTATTAGTTAATAAAATTATTAAAATTATTATTAAATTGTTATTAATATTTTATTTTTTATTATACTGACAACTTTTTCCAAATTTGTTAATAAAAAAAATAACTTAAAATAATAAAAATAAATTAATAGAGAATTTCCAGTTCTGTAGGATAATGCCTCTTCGCTTGATCTTGATTGACTAGTGCAGGGGTGTATTATGACTCATGGCTCATGAGTCTTTAACTCATCTCCTGGCCTCAAAAAATCCAAGTCTGGGTAGTAAAAATTTCCAACTCCGAATTCCAGAAATATTTTTCAATTTTTGTATCATAATATCACCTTTTTATCAAGAATTTCCCTTAAAAAATTGTGATTTCAGCAAAAATCTCTGACATTGACTGACTCCAACACTCTGGCCATGAGCAAACTCCAGCTATGCTTTTAACTTAAAAGTCTACTAAAATCCCAAACAGTAAGTAAGCACTGTTTAGTAAGTAAACAGTGAATTGTTAGAGAAATATAATTATAGTTGAAAAAGAAAGAGGAGGAAAAGCACTAAAATTTTTGAGAAACATTTTTGTTCTGCACAGGAATTGCCTAATTACTAATTGGCAGACAATAATAAATTTTATTACATTTTTTAGAGATATATTATTAATTATTATTAATTAATTTTCTGTTTATTTATCTCAATTACAGAATAATAAATAACTGATAACATGTTTAACATGCTCAAAATTTATCAATAGTTATAAGACCTGTTGCGTATTGAGTTTTATTTAGATACTAGAAAAAATTTTTTAAATTGATGCGCCTGCCATCAAACTTTATTTTTGGATTTTAATTTATGAGTAGCTGAATGATTTAATTAAAAGAAATAATCAATTTAGTTTGTATCATTTTGTTCAAATCTTTAATATTAGGCAGTGCACCGAAGCTTTGGTAGAAATAAATTTGATCAACTTTGTGTGTACTTACACACCTAGGATCCAGATTCAATTCTATATGACCATGAATGCATCACTTGATGAATGCAAAACCTGATACTGCAGATCTTCATTTCTTAAATCTGTCTGATTCCTATTTAGTATTACAAATATTTTCCTAATTTATTTAGTTCAGTTGTGGAAAAACAGAATATTAATAAATGGCATCATAGGATTTCAATGAGTTAAGGAACTAATCAATTCTTTCAAGCAATATAAATTGTTTCTGTAAGGTTATTGGTAGAATGGAATGGAAAATAACTGGGCCTTTTAAAAAAAATCTTATTACTTCTTTATTCAACGAAAACTTGAAGGGTTTATCTAAGTTAGCGTGTTGGCCACTAGAGAATGAATGAAATGGAAGTTTTAAACCAACTTGATTAAGTCCTTTTTTAATATTAGGCTTATGAATGACAGATATACTGATATACAGTTATTTTTGCTTGCTAAATTTATTTTCATGCTCTAGAATCTATAAATTATGATGATTAGTTACTCAACCATAAAATTAATCCCCATTAATAAGATTTTAAATTAATTCATATTAACAGAAGCTCCAAAAGTCAGAAGACTTGGTTGCCATAAAAGGATATAAAAGTAATACTTTCCATTTTGTTCATCAACGTTTTTCATTTATTTACTGTAATCTTTGCATGCGATGCACACTTTTTTGCCTCATGATGGCATCAAGTAATCATGTGTGTATTATGCATGAGTGAAGTTGAAGGGTTAGGGTTGTTGGTAGGCTAGACACTGCTCAATGAATCGAACCTCTCATCGGCAAATTAATTATTATATCTATGAATAAAGAGGTCACTGATTAATGAATTTGCATATAAAACAAGGACTTGTAGTTTCTTCAATGCAACTCCCAATTCAAATTCTACCAAAAAAGAATTTTAGATGGTAAAATTGAACTTTTGGAGTAATAGAAATCTTGAGTAAATAATGCTTTTTAATATAAAAATTGTTTTCATTTGTTAGTAAATTGATTGTGATTTGTTACTAATTGATGAAAAAATGTCAAGTTACAGCGTAAAATACTGCTGAATTAAAAATTTTTCTTTGTGTAAATTAATAGACTGACTTATATGAAACTACTGCCTAACAAACACTCTGTTCTACTCCATTAATTCCATCTTTAGATGAATGGCTCACTAATATTTAATTAATATAATATTTAAGTTTTTTACAATTGCATTGGGCATAACTTTAATAACCTCACTGAATGTTCAACAGTACCTAAAAAATTGTTTATAGGAAACTTTAAATTATTGATAACTTATACAATTTTGCAAATGTGTAACCATTTTTTGACTATTGTTAAAATTAACAGCCTGAAAAATTAATTAATTTTTATGTTGATTATTTATAAGATTTTTTATTTAAACCGCCGATTATTATTTATTTATTAAATATTATTCCGCTTGATGAACATTTAGGAAAAATCCACTGAAGGAGTTTGTTTATTAGAGATTACTTCAATCTAAAATTGACAGTACATAAGTTTAATCATTTTGGAACATGGATTAAAATTATTTAATTTTTCTTTTTTCAAGCTTCATTAGTTGAAATTTTTCATGTGCAGAATGGTGCAAAGAGTATGTTGAGTCATTTCCTCCTAATGTTGAAACTCTGCAAAAAGAAATTAACCTGTTCATTGAAAGCCATGACGCTAAAATGGAAAAAGTTTGTGCATCAATTTTAATTTTCATATTTTTGTTATTACTCTACATTTTGAATATCTTGGTCCTGCATGTTTTCATTCAGCAGTCTTTTATGCGTGTGGACATCTTGTTGTTAGAAATATGGAAATGACTTTTTCATCGCCAAGCCTTATATTGTATCAGGGATTGCTGGATAGATTCCCAATGAAGTCGAATAAATTTTTGCTCACCAGACTTGTCAAATGTATATAAATCAGTAAATTTTCCTCTCCACACAAAAAAATATCAGAAAAACCTCAGATACACCTAATAAAAATTTGTGAATCCATCACTGAATTTATATTTCTCATTCAATTTCTAAAGCTGCAATTGGTTTTTCTATTTGAAATAATTTTCTGTGTCTTTGTGCATGGCTTAAAATTTTACAATTATCTCTTAACATTTTTTTGTATGTTTATTGTCATAGGAAAAGCAGCAGATGATGGATATGGATGGCATCCCTGATGAAGAGGGATGGATAACTGTCACAGCTTCTGGCAAATATAAAGGTGCCCCAAGAGTTGAAGAGGTCGAGCCGAAAAGAATTGAAGAGAAAAATAAGAAGAACAAAAAGTTAAAAAGAAAACAGGTATTATTTTATATTTTTGGCAATTTTAGATAATAATGTATTTTGCTAGAATTACATTTATTGCAGTATAATTCAATTATTTTTTTTTTAATTCAAATTAAATGAAAATATTTTTAAGGAGTTATTAAACTTTTTGTCATGGGAGGGGAAGAGGTCTAAGAACGAACGTTAGTTATTTTGTCATACATTTTAAACCATCTTGTATTTCCCTTCAGCTAATATTTCAAGATTTTTTTAATTTGTTCACGGCCAACTTGATGGTCCAGATTATTTTTATGAAATGGTCCACCAAGTTGGCTGTTCTGGGGCGTGGTGTTGTTAACTGAACAATATCTAGACGCCAACATACACGTCTTATAAGTATCTAGTTAGTACCTACGTCTCATAAATTTATTCGCTGTTCTTAGTGGAACGTAATTGGGATATAGTTTGAAGCGAGGCTCTCGTTTTCACCTGTACAAACGTGATTAAATATATACACTAGGTATATGACTTCAGAACAAGGCATGCATGGCATGCCATTAATTGATGTCTTTTTATTGTAAAAACACAAAACCATATCAAAATTATTAAAAAAGTTGAAAAATGTCACCCACTAAACATTTTAAAGTTTTAAAAAAAATTGTCATTTTTCAATTATTTCAAGTATGGTTTCATAAACTTTTATTTGTAAAAATAAAACGTAAATTTAGTTTCTCAGATGAGTTGCAAAGAGGAGCAATATCTTGTAGAACTTTTATTGCTCTTTCTGCACACACATTGCTGCGTTGAGTGTGTATGGAAGATGGACTTTGAGACCAATGAGTTTGAAAACAGCGCAACGCCTTAGGATATTCATTAACAGCATATAAAAGAAATTCATGTTGTTCAGTTCTGTAATAATGATCACTAAACCAGGCATCACTCCATTGTCCACAGATAAATTCACACAATTTCTGAAGGTTCTTTCGTTCATCAGGCAATAGTATAAAAGCCAACAATGCAAAAATTGCTCGAGAATTCCATCTGGCATTGCTGATGCCAGGGAGTGCTTTAAAATTAACTTTTGGCATTTGTTGAAAATTCTTAAAATCCAACGTTTTTTGAATAGCAGATGCAATAGTAGTAGCTTTTCCATCTGGTAACACTAAGATTGCAAGCCTCACTTTTTTTACTTCATTTCTTAATAGAACTACTTGGTGTTCTTAATAATTTTACCATCAAAATGTAAACACCATGAGCTATTACACAAAGTATTCATTAATGTTTTATTATTATATACTTATTTAGCATTAAGTAGCTTTTTAAAATTTGAATCAACATAACGGAGTTGGTCCATTTCATATTTTTTGTCAAACGTTTAATGAGTTTTGAAAATGGCTTACGACTGTTTCGACAATGTTGCCGTCATCAAAGCCACAAAGTAATGACTCTAATTGTATGCATTTTAAACTAAGTAATGGCTAAATCCTAATTTCGAAGTTAATAGCATTATTAAATATGTTAGTTAGAAAGTTAAATTAATTTTTAATGAGAAATCGCCGGGCTTATTATAAAGTAATCAAATATGTTAAAGATGTTAGTGTATGGTGTTTAGATAGTAAGTTAAAAGCGTTTTGATATTTCTCCTGCATGGCTGTTTTTATATATATCATCTTTTTAAAAAGTTAATGTTCTTCTAGATAAATTTGTAGTTCTAGTATGTATTTGTAAATATAAACGATGTTACATTTATTTTAGTTGAATATTTTGTGAGGGTAACTCTTTGACCCCTGTTTAATTGTTGATGAGGTTCCTCTTTCATCAACTCTTATCACGCCGCTTATAAGTCTTAATTCAAACCCCTGTTATGATGCGGTTGGATCCTGAAGGCTCAGCACGGGGCTTCCTTGAGAAATTCATGATCTTTTGTGGCGGGATAGTACAATGCGATGGCTGGGTTCGATCGCAAGCCGAGATACCCGCCTGTTATATGCAATGCAACGTGTAATGCGTAGTTTCACGCGTACGTTGTGCGTGCGTTGATATCACTGAATGATACGCAAGAACCCATAAGCTGACTCATGAAGTGCTACATTTTTCACTGAGTAAACTCGATATTTTGGGTCTTCTGTATGTGTACAGGATTAACGATGTTGATTATTATTATTATTGTTTTTATTATTATTATAAGATTAATAGTATTATATTAATCTATTTAACAGATATTCTGCAACTACAAAATAAAATAAATGAAGATAAAGAAAAAGTGGCTCAAATGAAAGCTTCAAGAAAGTTTAAACCTTTTTGACAGCCTCCTTTTTTTGTTTTCATAAATAATCGTTATGGTTTCAATAATCGTTTTGTTAATAGTCTAATTAAAATATAATGGATTTTCAAATATGTCATTTAAAAATACGTATTAAAGTTTTGATGAAAATATACAACACATGATACAACAATCATATGATGATATCTACGGCACGGTCATTTCTTTTTTTTTACCAAGAAATTGCTGAGGTTCCACAAAATACAAAAAGAGATACAGCTCGGAATTTGACTGCGTATGTGATAGGGCGTTGTATGTGTAGATACACGTGTGTATGGATAATTTATTGAATATTGGGTGTATTCTATACATAATCAGGATTGATAAACCTTTTTGAAGTTTTCAACGTGGCCTTAATTTGTAGATGGTAATCAAACTAAAAATTTGAGACTGCTGGGCACGAACCTAATAAACCGTCCATGCTTTTTGTCACAAATTTTTATCATTTGAACATTCCATCTCAGCTGCTCTTTTCGAAAAGGAGTACAGTTTATCCAGAATCGCATGATTTATTGGCAGGCTTTAGGGCGGCTATGTTATCTAACTAAAATGCAACAGTAAAGGCACGAGGCAAGAACATACTTGGCGGTACTGACTGACTGCGATGCATTCCTTTCCAGGAAAGGCAAGGGTGTTGCACATAAGTTTCTGATGGTGGCATTGGTTGGTAGGGCTACGGCTAGATACTTGACTTGTAATTTCCATTAGAATAAAAATAAAATAAATGTAGAAGAGCCACATTTCATTTTGTTGCTACCGCGGGATGACCTGGCCCTGGCTCTAAAACTAACAATATGTCCGAAATTCAAAGCCACAGGCATTGTACGTGTGGTGTGATGTAATGATTGATTGGGCGGGCATACAAAACTTGCGTAAACGTCTTGTGGTACGAAATTATCAGATCACAAGTATTTCAGCAAAGATTGATATGTGAGCAGAGCTGCATAATGAAGAACCAAGAAAAGAAAAAAAGAATTGGAAATAAAAACCTTGTTGAAAAAAGGGTCTGAGTATTGCAATTAATAAATTATAAGTGTCGAGTTAAAAATTTTTATTTTTTCAAATTTTTTAAGCCATGTCTTGCTGTTTATTTGCACGCACACTCGCTCGCTGGCTCGCTGGCACACGGTCTTAATTCAATCTATCATATATATATATATATATTTGTTTTTGTTTATTTTATGCATATATTTATATATATATGGAATATAATATATATTCAATAAATATGGTCTATATATGGAATATATTCTATATGTATAAAATAAATGTCTTTGTATAATTTTTTAATTAAATCCGTTTTTTCTTCATCAGCTATCTTCAATGACGTTAAATGTAACCGGTCAGTGATATGTTCGTTTTGTTGGAGTTTGTTCGTTTTTCGCCAGTTGTTCGCTTTGATGAGCAATTTCGTTTCAACTTTTTTTCAGTTGTTCATACTTTGATAAAGACGCAATGCAGACTCTGGCGCATGCGTTGGTGCACTCACGTGTCGATTATTGCAATAGTTTATTTTATGGACTTCCGGCTAGATCCATCAAAATTCTGCAATCGATACAAAACCGTACTGCCTGGATTGTGGCTGGATGTCGATGGTATGATCATGCCACACCGATCCTGAGTGATTTGCATTGGTTGCCCATAAATAAATAATAGCATCAATAAAAATGCAATAGGTGAATTTCAGTATGTTGAGGATGATAAAATCAACGAAAGTTTTAATGAAGCATCTGGTAAAGGTAAGCCTGCTAAAATTGGAAATGAGGAGCGATCGGTGGTTCTGGGAGTTTCAAATATCAGATCTATAATAACAAAATTCAGCTCTATTTATGGTTTGATTCACGAAGGCCTAGACATCTTTGTTTTGACGGAGAGCTGGCATGGTTCGGCAGATAATATTTCCATTGGGTTATCAATGCCACTTGGCTAACAGTTTGTAGACCGTTTAAGATCGCACGACCCACATCATGGAGGTTTAATCATTTTTTTCCGATCAATTTTTAGATATAAAAAGATCACTCTGCCACTGGTTACTGCTTTTGAGATTCTGGCGCTGAAACTTAAAATTAATGAATTAGATTATATCCTACTGGCAATTTACAGACCTGGATCTGAACAATTAACGACATCATTTTTTGATGAACTGATTTCTGTCTTAGAATGTGTTACAATCATTAGTTCCAGTATTTTGTTAGCGGGAGATTTTAACATTCACATGGAGAAATCGAACAATTCAAACGTCGTTAATTTACGTGAAATATTTGAAATGTTTCAGTTGATCAACCACATAGATGAACCAACGCATATTCTAGGAGGAACGCTCGATCTGATTGTGACGTCACACAATATAGCTGTCAGTGAAGCAAAGGTTTATCCTAGTGGAATCTATTCTGATCATGGTTTGGTACAGGTTAGTTTATCAATAAAATTGACAAAGTCTCTGAAAGCAAAAAGATTGATACGACTCTGGAATCATTTTGATGAGAAAGCTTTCGCTGAGCAGGTACTTGAGTCTCCAGTATCCAGACCGTGTAAAACTGATGATGTAAATGCAGAATTTGGTTTATTCAGTGACGAGGTAAGGAGAATTGTTGATAGGGTTGTTCCTCTTGTACTTGTGCTGCCTGGGCGCCATCATGTTGCACCGTGGTTTGATGATGATTGCAAGGCTTCAAAACGGAAATCTAGAAAAAAAGAAAAAATTTTTAGAAAAAGTTGTAAATTGTCTGATAAAAATGAATGGATATTGGCCCTTAAAGAAAAAACTGAAATTTATTCAAACAAACGTAAAGTATATTGGAAGAAAGTTGTCAATGAAAACAGTAAAACTCCAAAAAGCTTGTGGAGGGTGGTTAATAAAATTTTTCTAAACAGTCACAGTGAAGGCACTAAACGCGAATTCAATGATCTCAATGCTGGCCAGTTCATGACTTTCTTTAATGAAAAAATTAAAGTGATAAAACAGGGGATTGACACTGAAAATCAATCTTGTCTTAACAGTGATGATCATGGATGTCAGCAGTTGTTTTCGACTTTTCGGGCGGTGTTTGAGGCTGATGTCAGGAAAGAAGTGCTTCATTCACCTACAAAGTCCTGTCAACTAGATATTTTACCAACTCGTTTTTTTAAAAAGCATTTTGAATTGTTTTGTCCATTTATAACCAGTTTGATAAATCTGTGCATGAGGGTAGGTTGCTTCCCCACACTCTTGTAAGCATGCAATTGTTGTGCCGTTGTTGAAAAAAAGTGATGCAGATCCAGATGACGTCAGTAATTGTCGACCAGTCAGTAATCTATCATTTATATCAAAACTCATTGAAAGAATGGTGTCGAGACAATTGCTTGCTCATTTGAATGATAATAATCTCATGCCTGCACATCAATCCGGTTTCAAACGATTTCACTCTACTGAAACTGCCCTGCTGCATGTTCTCTCAGGGGTTTATGCTGAGATGGATGCTCAAAACATTTCCTTGTTGGCATTTTTGTTGACATGAGCTCGGCTTTCGACTGTGTCAATCATGAAATGTTACTGCTCAGGCTATATCAAAATTTTTTGGAATATCTGGGGAAATAATAAATTGGCTCAGAAGCTACTTGATTGGTCAAACACAGCAGGTTTCGTTAAACGGGAGTTTGTCCTGCGTCAGTGTGGTTCGCTCTGGTGTGCCGCAGGGATCTGTTTTGGGTCCTTTATTGTTTCTGCTTTATACATCTGATGTGCTGAAGATAATTGATTCATATGATTTTAAAAGCCATGCATATGCAGACGACATTCAAATTATGTTATCAGGTAAACTGAAGTTATTTCAAGACGAGATTACGAGATTCATTGAATGTATGGCGGAGGTTAATCTGTGGATGTCGAGAAATGAATCAAAGCTTAACCAGGGTAAAACAAAATTTCTTCCTTTTGGTACCTGGCAGCAGTTGGCGGACTTGGATATAAATTCAGTTGTTACGAATGATAAAAAAATAGATTTCTGTAAAGCAGTGTCGAACCTAGGTTTTATAATTGATTCAAACCTAACAATGAAATCTCATTTAAAGATGATCTCTATATCATGCTTGGCACAGATTAGAAGAATGAAACAAATTCGAGAATCACTTGATAAAGACGCAATGCAGACTCTGGCGCATGCGTTGGTGCACTCACGTGTCGATTATTGCAATAGTTTATTTTATGGACTCCCGGCTAGATTCATCAAAATTCTGCAATCGATACAAAACCGTACTGCCTGGATAGTGGCTGGATGTCGATGGTATGATCATGCCACACTGATCCTGAGTGATTTGCATTGGTTGCCCATAAATAAAAGAATTGTTTTTAAAATTTCTGTCACAGTTTTCGAATCACTAAATGGTCTGGCTCCAAAATATTTATCAGATAAACTGAAATTAAAAATGTCGATCGCATCTGGTGTGCGTCTGAGGTCTGACGATTCGAA